CACACACACACACACACTGTATATATAGCATTGGAGCTTTAGTTCCGAATGCTATTGGATATACAGAGTATTTTTTTAAAGCATGTAATTTAAACACTCTTTGTCCAGCAGCACTTAGAGGTGTCCCATTGCATTGACTGGTCATAAAATTCATCTTCCATTATTTTGTTACTGCAGTAAACTTGTATAACGGCTCAGATGCAGTATGTTTTTTTCTGGTAAAAGATTTTGGTGTATCTATAATATCTAAGCAGTCAGACTCTGTGAGTTCACTTTACATATTAAAGTAGGGTAATGGTGCACAACTGCTCTTCTTCTGAATAAATGAAAACTATGTAACACAGGTGTTTACACTTAATTTCACAATATTTGACCAAAGGAAAACCGGAGCAGGACTAGAGAGAGATGAATATGATTTAGATTTTTATTTCTGTGACTGTAACGACCCACGGGAGACACAACATTAACATCAGTCATTTTATTCCTCGACTTTAGCAGGTCCTATCATTCCACAGCTGACGCTGCTAAAAATGACATTTTATTTTCTGGATCTCTGAGAGCAGGACTTCAATCTCTGAACTCGTAAAGTTCTTCTTTTTACTTTGCGATGTCATTTATGAATGGACACTTCCTGGTATGTGGGGCAGGAAACGTATATCCTTATATGGTGTTTTTAGGTTGGTAATTATGCTAATCTCCTCTCCTTGTGCACGAGCAGCTGATAACATTCATCACTTTACGCAGCTCATTTACACACTTTTCCTGAAGATAGAAGAGTTTGTTGAATCTGACGTGACATGTTCGTACGAACCCTTCCTACGAACAAAAGTAAGAGAAATTTAGGATAAGAATACAAACATGTTCTTGCCTGAGGTCCATTGCCTTAAAAGTGAATAAGTGATTAAATAAATAAACCAGATAACAGCAGGTGCAGGAAGCAGCAGCGTCCAAAATACATCAGAAACTTGCCCAACTGAGCAAATTCCCGGAGATTCTGCGTTTTATACTGGATTCCGTTTTGTGTCAGATCCGTGATTTCCCCATATCTCAGTCCTATTTTTATAAAAAAAAATTACACACCTGGGAAATGTTTCCCTGTACCCCTGGTAATACACTCCCAAACCCCAAGGGGTACACGTACCCCTGGCTGGGAATCACTGGTGTATTCAATTGAATATAGGTTGCAAAGGATTTGCAAATCATCATATTCTGTTTTATTCGTCTTTTACCACAACGTCCCAACGGGGTTGTATTTCACGCAAAGAAATGGAATTTTTTAGCACATTTATCAAACAACATTCATGGACCAAACTGATGTACAACATGTAAGGTATAAATAAATAATCAATATAAGCAATAAGTACAAGAAGACATCACATAACAAAAAAAACTTTCACAATATAGTTCAAGGTGTCAACCAGTACCAAAAGCCAGTTAAAAGAAGTGGGTTTTAGTTATAAAGCCTCTGTCACCTTTGTTTTTGAGGCTGGATGCAGAAACATCCAAGAGCATCTGATCTGTGGACCATGGAGCTTGGGCAGTAAATGTAGATGTTCGCACAGATAAGGTGGTGCTGTATAATTAAGGTGTAAAGTTCAGTGTGCAGTGCCAACTCCTTCAAATAATAAACTTGTAATAAATGTGAAAAACAACAACTTTCAACTAGATTAAGAATAATCTTAAAAAGTGTTCAAAATCTGTGACTGTACACCATCTGCTAGCAGGAGTGCACTGAACTGGAGTAATGACGTTTGGGCTCCTTCCAAACAAGCTCAGTTCATCCCCTTGCTGCCTGCAGGCATCTGTTTCCAGGACCTGCAATATTTCTGGAAGATATAACTTTCCAAAGCAACAAAACCACTCTTTATTTTAAATGTCACAGAACCTCTTAAAAGAAAAAATAAATAAGTGAAAAATCAGCATTTGTTTGGAAATCAGGTCATGAAAAAAGTTTGTGTTTGTGAGCTATTGTTTCCCTTAGAGTACATTTGCTTTGGCAGACCTCCTTTGGTGGAGCAGTTTTTCCTTCCCAGAAGCACATTTAATGTGAAATGTCTGGAAATATTGGGAAGTGTTTCTGTCTTGTTACGGGTTATTGTGAGGCTAAAAATAGTTGAAAATAAGGAGTCTGGAGTATTTCAGTTGGCTTAAAAGTCAAGCATCTTGTAGAGTGTGGGTAGAAAATTCATCCTGTTTCCTGGAAGGAACCTGCTAGGCTGTAAGCACTAGAAAAGTCCCATCAAAATTAGTGGCAGATGGTGTACGTCAGAATGGACAAAAGCAAACGAGGTGAAATTTAAAACTAGGATGGAGCTGAATAAGACTGATATGGGCAAAAACTTGAGTAGAGAAAAAAACACTTACCGTATTTATTCAAGTATAATATGTAAAATTTAATCCATAAAATCATCCATAAAGTGGGGGGGG